CGGTTTATAGGTCCGTTTCGTGTGATCGAAAGGGTGGGCCGGGTAGCCTATCGGCTGGAGTTACCAGCAGAGTTGGGACAGATTCACAGCACTTTTCATGTATCGCAGTTGAGGAAATGTATAGCCGACGAGTCGGCGGTGGTTCCATTAGAGGATATTCAGGTAGATGCAAGCCTGACTTATGCTGAGAGACCAGTGGCTATTAGGGATCGGAAGATCAAGATTTTGAGGAACAAGGAGGTACCTCTGGTATTGGTATAGTGGCAACATCGGAAGGGATCAGAAATGACCTGGGAGCCGGAGGGTATGATGCGGGAGCAGCATCCGGAGCTATTTTAGCGCGAGACTTCGAGGGTGAAGTCTAGTTCTAGTGGGGGAGAGTTGTAACATCCGGATTTTATCAGGTATCTTGTAAATCAAATTTTGTCATATTGAGAGAGGGACTCGGCGAGTTGGAGCTCAGACTCGCCGAGTAGAGACGCGGAACTGAACAATGGTGCACGTCGGGACTCGGCGAGTCCAGGATATGGACTCGGCGAGTCTGCGCTGTGTAATGAAACCCTAAATCTCCGGGTTTGAGGCCTATTTAAAGGGCCTTATGGCCGTCATTTGTGCTCACCCAACCCTCAGTGAGTGACCCTTGTGTTCTTGAGCTATTTGTGAAGAGAAAGGAGCCATTCTTGATCTTGTGTATGTTATTTAGCAAGAAGAAGGAGACCCTAGGCAAGGGAAAGCAAAGGAGGTTGCTATTTCATGGATTTGGAGCTTAGATCATCACTCTAGAGGTATTATCTCGGACCATTTTCTGTTTAGTGAAGCATGATGCAATTTAGGGCTTGTGATGGTCATTTATGGGATGATTTGATGCCCATTGGTTCCCTCTTTGAGTTGAGGCCATGGATCTGGATCCATAGAGGTCCAGAGAGCCTCACTCATCAAGCTTTATGAGTGACAATAGAGTCTTTGACCTTGTGTTGTAGTATTTGAGTCATAAACATAATATATGGTCATATAGAGGTTGTATGTGCATCAAGATTATAACTTTACGTGCTAAATGAGCTTGGAGGGACTGGATCTATGGATTAATGAACTGGATCTGACCTTTAGAGCAAGATTGAGTCAGTGCATGGCATGGACTCGCCGAGTCCAAAGAACAGACTCGGCGAGTAGCATGAATGTTGCCCGACCACTCTGTGAGTGGCCTCGCCGAGTTGGGAAAGGTGAACTCAGTGAGTTAAGGGGGAGTCAGAATGGACAGGTGGACTGAGTCTAACTGGACTCGCCGAGTTGATCTTGAGACTCAGCGAGTTGAGTCGTGGTGGCCCCACAACTCGTGCCAGGTGGAACTCGTCGAGTTGAGGGAATGCTCGACGTGTCAAGGGAGGATTCCAGGGAAATTGGTGTATACGCCCAGACTCGCCGAGTCGCCTGGGTACTCGCCGAGTCCGGTCAAAGTTGACCGTTGACCGTTGACCAGCGTTGACCTAGATTGACTCGTTACAGTGTGGTCAACCCTAGTTGGGAAAGTGTTAATTAGAGGTGTATTGTGCTATAGGGGGACGACAGCTCGACAGGTCGAGTGATTAGCGATTTCAGGTTTACGATTTACCGAGACACGCGAGGTGAGTCTTCTCACTATACTTTACCTTGAGTAGGTAATCAGAGTTATGTGATAGAGTACTTGTATGCTATGTATGTTATGTGTTGTACTGCATCACTTCTATGTGTTTGATGTTGTGCATGTTTACAGAGTTGGAACCGGAAGGTTCACAGAGTTAGAACCTGAGGGTTCACAGAGTTTGGGTGCACGGACCCACAGAGTTATAGCCTCGAGTGGCTAATATGTGTTATATGTAGTATTTTGGGGAACTCACTAAGCCTTGTGCTTACAGTGTTGATGTTATTGTTTCAGGTACTGGTGACGACCGCGGGAAGGCACCGGCTTGATCCGTACACACACACATTCGGAGCTTGATATCATGATCTTGGGATTTTGTATTGTCTTGTTTGGATAATTAAAATGGTTGTTTTATGAATATCAATGGAATTATGTTTTATAAAAATTGAAAAAAATTGTTTGAAAATTTTCGGTGTTACAAATGGCTCAAAAGGTTAGGTTTTATGAATGTGGATCCAATTAGGGCCCAATTAGGATTTCTAGACCCAAAGTAGTCAAGTGGAAGGTTTATTGGTCCATTAGGTCCAATAAAAAAAAATCCTAGTCCATAATGAATTTGAACCGGGATTTCTAGGGTTTCCAACCCCTTATTGACTATAAGAATTATATTGAGTGAGCATAGAGTATGATATTCATTTAGAGTACAATCCTTACAATGGATGATGTTTACATGAGAATAAAATTTCCTAGCTAAAAATGCTAGTTACGATAGTTCCTGACCCAAAGCTCCCAAATTTAGATGGCCCAACTTAATCCCAACCTTTTAAGCCCAAAACATGGCCCAAACATAAAGCCTAACATCGAAATGCCACCAGACTGAGTACGTGGGGTGTTCCGATCTTATACACTAAGGTACTGGCTCGAGGGCTTGTACGTTACGCATACAAGCTTGTATGCCCAACGTACTCTTCCAATTTGGCCACAACCTAGATTTAGTTCTTAACCCATTAAGACTTCACTCCAGAATGTGGATCTGGTCTCCTTGAGCTAGATTACCACGTAAAGTTACTAAATTTATGTCCAAGCAAGGCTAAATGAATCTCTTAAGATCATCAAGGGCTTAATAAATGACTTAATGCTTAAATAATACGCTAAACTCCATAATGTTGGCACCTTTATGCATGAGGAGTCCATGGAAAACCTAGTTTGTAAAGGATAAGTCCTTAGGACGTCTTGACTCAATTATTCACCCCAATCCATGGCTAAAAGCATGAGAATTTATCCTAAAAAGAGATCTAAACAACTAGAAGCCAAGATGAGAACTTGATACCTCAAAAGCTTTGCGAAATGGGTAGTGATTCTGGATCCAAGAACTTCTTTCCAAGCTTAGCAACTTCAAGTTCCTCTAACTCCGTCAAAAAAAGAGCATCAAAAATCTCTTCAAAAGCTTAAATACTCAACAATTGAGGCCAAGACTCGTTTTAAGGGTTTTGGGGCTATAGAGGTTGGCAATGAGGCATTTCTCATATAGGGTGCAAGACCCCAATTAGGGTTTCATTAAAGTCCATGTATGCCCAACATATGCATACGTACGCCCAACATACGTAACATGGGTCCCGACTCGCCATCAACTCAGTACGCTAAGCGTACCAAATGTTACGCCCCGCATACTGGCTTTTCAACCAGTACGCTAAGCGTACCAAGTTGTACGCCTCACGTACTACTTTAGGGACTAAATGCACAAATTTCAAAATAGAATGACCATAAGGAACATACAAGGTTACAAGTGTTACACGATCGTTGGATTTTTCCTGTTTTTTTATTTATTTTAAAATAAATAAGTGGTGAGCGCTCGTGTAAAACTCCTTGATGGGAATAATTTAACACTATGGTTGATAGAATAGCTGAAAAATTAGTTTTTAGCTGAAATGCTAGCTAATAGGTAATAAACTAACTTATGAATTAATATTGTTTGGTATAAAATAGCTTATAATCTAAATTGCAATGTAAATTGACATATATATATATATATATATATATATATATATATATATATATATATATATATATATATATATATATATATATATATATATATATATATATATATATATATATATGGAAATTTAGATGTTTAGCTAATAAGCTAACATTTGAAATATTTTTGAAAAAACTTAATAAGCTTATCAAAATAGCTAGTCGTATAAACTAGTTCAAAATGTAAAATAAGCTAATTTTCTAGTTTTAGCTACAATAAACTAGTTTATTATCATTTTTATTGAAATGTTGACACATTATTTTACGAATATTATAAAAAGTAACAAAAATGGAAATGTAATTAATCTAAGGTATAGTTTGACCGATTAAATAAAAAACTAACTTTTAGCTACAAAGCTAGTGAATAGTGATAGATTATAAGTTCTTTTTTTTTTCCCTAAACTAACTTAATTTAAAGAAAAAAATAATAGAGATAATTAAGGACATAGTTGATTTAGCTTTTTGAATTATATGTTTTCTCTTAAAAATAAAAGTTTAAATTCGTATCTGGAACCAAGTTTTTAAAAAAATGCTAAGAGTTAAAAGGTCACTCCTAAACCTTTTATAAATTTACTCACATTCTTAATTCCGCTTTATTCAAATACTTAACAAAATTTGCCCACTTAATTAGAAAATATATAATAAAAAAATGAAAAAGAAACAGTAAAACAGGTTGAGGGCGTTAGTTTAGTAATTTAGGTACCTGAACATTGGAGACTACCATACAGTTCTTCAAAGTCATGAATGCCTTATCGATAATAGCTGCAACATGAAGAAAATTAGTTAAATTTTAGATCAAATATTTTATTCTATAACAAAACTAAATTACTATCATGCCCCTTATGTGACATATCAATTATCAAATATTCGACTCTAGGTTGATCTTTAAACATTTCTTCCTCCTCTGTTAGCTACCTCAATATCCTACTACAATAACATGTATCAAATCATCAATAATCAAAATAGCATATCTGAGACTTCTTACAATAGACACAAGTTTTTTAGGGATATTCAATGATTATGACAACATTTACATCTTTTGTACATATAAAAATTAATCCATAGTTTGATGATTTTATTACAATTTTCGTTTCAACCACTCAAGCACCATAGTTTGAAGATTTTATTAGAATCCATCCAATATGCGTTTTGGACATTCATTATAGAAAATTAAAGGTGTCACAGACGTGAATACAAATCCACATTTGTGTTTCCATTTCAACTTTGAGCAAGACATGGAATTTGATGTCCAAAATGATTTTTAATAATAATACAAGTAATTCTTTTCATATATTAATCATTAGATAAACAAATGTCAAATACGACTATCATCAAAAAAAATTTCCTTACAAACGATCAATAAAAGATGAACACCAAAAGAACATAAAGAGTCTTTATAGATTACTGAATTGAAAAACATTTTAAGTATAAGCTTTTGATTACACATCGAAGGAAGAAGTAGCGGCGTTCGATTGCATCTTTAGAGCTTCATATCTCAAATGCAAAACGGATTCCAGCTTATGTACAACATCCATTCCCCTCTTGGTTAATTTACATTTTTACCCCTTTCCACAAGTTAGAATCTTTCACATATAATATATAATCAAAACATGTATAAACACAGATAAATATAAAACATTTTTTTATGCTTGTTCCATTTTTGGAGCAAAGGTTAGAACAGCATCAGCTACAGTTAGAAATATCTTGTCTTCCCCAATCAAATCCGCCAAATTAGATGTGTGTAGTTTGTCAAGTACAATTTGTCCCGGATTTGTTAAAATAAGCTGTGTCAATTTGAAAACAAATTAAATCATGTCAGATATTGTTTTCGTTACAAATAAAATCTTAACTTTTAAAAAGAATATCTTTATTTATCTATTTTATTAAATATTTTAAAAACGTTATTTATCGAATGGGAAAAATGATGGTTGCTAGTTTAGCTTAGTTACCTGAACATCTCTCTTTTGAAGACTATTATACAATTCTTCCAACGCGTGAATCCCACTCGTATCAATATCAGTAACAGCTGCAACATTAAGAGAAAAAATTGTAAAGTCAACAAATGATGCAAATTTTGGATCAAATCATTTATAAAAATCTAAATTACGATAATGCCACTTACGTGACATATCAACTATCAAATATTCGACTCTCGGTTGCCCTTTAAACATCTCTTCCTCATCTGATAGCCACCTCAAAATCCTACAATTATAACAAGTAATATCAAATCATCAATAATCAAAGCAACATATATAAGAAAAGTTTTCTAGGACTATTTCAATAGCCAGTACGCTAAGCTGATAACTGGTAACAGGTAACAGGTAACTGCTAGCTGGTAAAATTCATTTCATACCTCTCCTTTACGTAGTTAGAATTCGAGAAGTAGATTGCAGAATCAACTCTGATAATCAAAACACCGGGAACCCTAGTTGCACCAGGATACTGTTCTACGTTCCGGTACACGCTAGTCCGTGGGATCTTACCGAGCACCGCCGTGCGGGGTCTTGTAACTTGGAGCAAAATTTTGGCAAAAGATATACCAACCTAAAAAAATCAAAAAACAATTAATCTCTTTATCACCAAAAAATTCCAAAATCCAAAGTATGATGCTATAATTACCGCAATCAAGAGGCCAATTTCAACAGAAGCGAAAATAACACCAAAAAAGGCACCCATACAAGCTACAAAGTCAAATTTATCAATCTTCCATAGTAGGATTGCTGCATCAAGGTCAATGAGACCTATAACTGCTGATATAATGATGGAGGCTAGGATTGCATTTGGGGTGTATTTGAATAATGGGGTGATGACTAAAAGAGTCAACAATACGATTATAGACATCACGATGTTGGACACTGCGGTGTTGCATCCCGCCATGTAATTCACTGCCGATCGAGAAAACGAACCTTCAAGACAAAAACCGTAGGAATGGGATCAATTACAGGGGAAAAAACATTATATTTAGTACAGTTTAACCAAAAATAATTTATATTTTCCAATCAAACCATAAAAGTTTTTTGACCTATTATATCAGGTTACATCTATGAATTTTTTATATAAGGTTTAACAAGTAATTTTCCAAATTAAATATTTGGACTACATCATGTCAAAATGGTAAAATTCAAAAAACATATGAAACTTAAATGGTTTCATTGTTAAAAACTAAAATAATATAGATGGTTAAACGGGAACAAAATATAATGGTTTTGTATAATTTTCCTTACTTCCAACTCTAGCATTTGCATTATTGACTTATAATCAATAATACATAATTTAAGCATTATAAAACCCACATAAAGTTATGATCATAATATAAATTTTTGTTATTTTCAGAAAATAAAATTCTAATTACTTAAAATCGTGAATTTTTATATAGTTTTGTACCTGTGGCGACATAACAACTTGTCAACGAACCAACTATGTTCATGGAACCTAAAGCCACCATTTCTTTGTTTCCATCAATCTGATAGTCCTTCATTGAAGCAAACGTTCTTCCAATTGCCACAGCTTCCTGTGTTATATATAAATATAATTAAGCGTATAACTCATATATACATAATACATGAGTCTTAGTTTCTCTATTGGGGGGGGGGGGGGGGGGGGGGGGGGGATATACCGTGAGTGCAATCAATCCGGCAATAACTCCAATCTTGAAACCTTTAGCAAGGAAGGGGCCATTGAAAAAAATTTCATGTGCTGATGATTCGTTGACTCCTTGCTTAATATGACGCACCTGGAATGGAATTAATATGGAAACATCGTTAAGGGCATTTTAGTAAATATAAAAAAATGATACATGCAGACAATTAACTTACGATTTGGACCCCGTCTTTGTCTGCGTGAGTGATGAAGACGAAAAAAGTCGCGATAATAACCGATATCAATGGAGCTATAGCAGGCACCCAAAACAGCTTCTTGTTCTTTTTCCCCTGACAAAATTGTAAAACAAAATTTGAATTTATGTAAATTCCATAAATCCGAATTGGAATCGGAATCCGAAAGGTGCTTACGATGAATTTTGCAACAATAAGGAAGGTCAAGAACGAAACTCCGATGACTAGAGTCTGCCAGTTCCACTAACATACAAAAACAAAAAAGAGTAAGAATCAATGAAACGATGTTTTTCAGGGACATTTTTGTCTTTTTAACTCTCAGAGTCTCACCCCATGGGGTGCAGCTTGAACCACAGAACGCATAACGGAGATGATGTCAGTCTTTTTGGTGAAGTCTTTGATTCCAAACAACCCTTTCAGCTGTTGAAGTGCGATGGTGACAGCAGCTCCTCCCATGAACCCAACAATGGCAGCATGCGACAAGAAATCGACCAGGAAACCCAATCTGATGATCAGAAAGAAATAGTAGTATTAACTATTAAGCAAACACTTGGAGTAAAACGACAGCGTTTTGATTTCAAGATATAAATATCGATATACCTGAAAAACCCTAGTGTGAATTGAGTGACGCCAGCAAAGAAAGTTGCAGTGAATGCGAGACGTTCGTAATCGTGTTTTTGTGTGACGGGATCGAGTTCTTGTCGAAGAAGAGTTCCAAGTAGAAGAGAGACGACTGCAACAGGTCCAATGGCGATATCTCTTGAGCTTCCCATGAATGCGTAGATCAGAGGTGGAACGAAGCTCGAATCTGTAGTTACAAATTAGTCAAAGTTTTGAAGAATCGCTTGTTGACTTGAAAAATGAGATGAAATTTCAAGAAATCTTACACAATCCATATTGCGCATCCAGGTTTGCTAGTTTTGCGTATCCAATATCCTGAAGAAGAATAAGAAGAAGATAGAAAGAATTACTTATGCATCTCTGATTCAAGATTGTGATTAATTAATATATATATATGATTTTCAATTTTACCTGAGGTATACAGAGACTTGCAATGGTGCATCCAGCAATGAGGTCGCCTTTAAACTTAGAGAAACTATAATCTCTACCCCATTCGAGAATAGGAAAAAGGGTTTGAAACCCTAGAACAAGCTTTCTCTTTTTTGGTTGATCCTTGAAGGGTTTCAATGGATCATCTGAAAGAAAAGTTTCTTTGAGAGCAGTTTTGATCTCTTTCAACAAATCTTGTTTTGGAGGCTTCCCCACTTTATGAACGTAAGGTAACTCATCGGTATTGTGTCGTGCAGAAGGTAAACTCCAGATATCGGAATCCTTCATTTCAGCATCAGCAGCAACCCTTCCACTCATTGTGGTTGGATTCTTGTTTTCACCTTTATAATTTCAAGAAAAACGATTACATACTAATTGTTAGTATATTGATCATAAAGATACATGCATATGTAAATTATATATATAATACTATGAGCTATAGTAGTCTTACTTATGAAATTATATTTCTGAAAGGCTTGGGGTGGTATAAGTGGTGATTAAGGTGATCCTACTTATAAGATTGGTAAGTCAAACTTATGACAATAAGCAAAGTATATAATAGTGTTTATTAAGAAATGAATCTAGACAAGATAAAGGCTGAATACAAAACCTCACAAAGGGTTTCTGAGGGTGCAACTGGTGAAGTTTAATATGCAATTATTGGAACAATTAAGTTGTTTTATAATAAATCAAAATTTGAGATAATTTTTTTTGTAGGGTTGACTTTTGTGATTTTATAAACCTTGATGTGAACAGAAATTTCTATAAATTAGGTTTTTGATGTTCACCTTGGTTTAAAAAAGCACTGACTATGTACGCTTTAAGCTCTAGGCACCAAAGCGAATAGATCATTAAGCGCTTTAGTTAATCAGTCAGTTATAACATCTTGTTACTTTTTACATGATATATGTATATTGTAGTTTTCTCACCTTGGTTTTACTTTATACAACTTTCCCTGTAAATGTATTAAATAGTAATACTAGTATAGTACTATCTGCTATATTCTCTTTCGTACATCTTAACTTCTGGTCTACTTGTCCATGATCATTGTGTAACTGGCAAAATGTTCATTATGTAATCTGTATTGATGTTTAAGTGTTAAACTGTTAATTAAGATTTAAGCGTTTAATTGTTAATTAATGTTGTATTGCCTCTGTGACTGTAATTAAGTGTTTACCTATTATGAACTTATTACTTGTGTGTAATGTTGTTGTTAAAGTGTTCATTAACTTCTCTTTTGTTACTTTTATTGTTTTACAGAATGGTTTCAACTTTAGACGACCCGGGTATATAGGAGATATAGTACACAAGATACAAACAATAAAAACAATTTGAAGTGAAGTGCTGACAAGTTACTAAAGGAGGAGTATACTGCCTCAAACTACACTAATTAGTTGGTGTCATCCAAGTTAACGACGAATAGGACAGGTCCAAACGTATATAGGGTCCGAGGCGAAAAGAAAAAAATGATCCCTAAAAAACAAATCTAATAAAGATAAAAAAAAGATATTATTTATTCTTCACTATAAACTAGTTCGATTAGCAATAACAAATAAGTCAAATTGTTTATCTTTTAATCTAGTTTGAGTTTGAATCAACTTTAGAGCTTAAAAATCATTTAGGTAATATATATATATATATATATATATATATATATATATATATATATATTACCTAGTCTAGAAATTTTGGATCCCTGGAGATGTGAACCCTAGGCGCGATCGCCCGGGTTGCCTATCATCTAGACTGGTCCTAATAACGAAGATGATGATAGTTTAGACGATCTCTAGTTATAATTTATTAATATTTAGGATCTAATATGATACTACTATGTAACTCTTATTTTTAGATATTTTTAAGTAATTAAAACTAGTTTTAAGTATTTATAAGTATTTCCATATTTTTAATATATATTTTTAAATCCTTGGCACTTTGTGTGATCTAGCTAGCGCGAGTGCTTTCGCTTAACGCTTAACGCATCGGCCCCCAAAGGCTTTAGCACTTTAGGAGGCTTTACGATTTTTAAAACCAAGATATCCACAATGATAATCATCACATGCTCTTTTATTCCAGTGAATTGAGTGTCCAATCATAATAGCAGCATTTACATTTATGCACGTTTTCATGGTAAAAAGTGGTAAAAAAAAAGAAAGAAAGAAAGAAAGAAAGAAAGAAAAGAAAAGAAAGAGATCATGTTGTTGCTTGATTGATGAATACTGTGCAATGCAAATCCTTATCCTTCTCACAAAAACATAACTTGTCGCTCTTATCCATTAAAAACATAAAGAAAGAAGTCCCAGCCTCCCAGGAGAATCAAAATGGGACCAATTGTAACTTAAGAGAATATTTCAAAATTCTTATGAACCAAATATGTGGGACCATTTCTCCCAAGTATATGTGGGGTATGTAGGTCCTAACAAATCTTGTTTAAGATTTCAACTTTGTTTCATGAGAAAGAAATTAGTATAAAGACTAAAGTGAATTATCTTTTTTAATCTTTAACAATTTTTAACCACAAATTGTAAGTGAAGAAGTGTGATAACTGTCCATTAGTTAAAAACCATATTAATAACGACAATGTATAAAATGTTGTGAACCTGATTGTTGCATTCATTTCATGAGAAAGATACTAGTAATATTAGGTTAAAAACGATCCAAAAATATTGTAATTTAGCTGAATTATCCCCAAAAAGGTGTGTGGTGTCACTTTCAAACATGGTAAATAGTAATAAACAAAGAGAACAATGAAAAAGTCAAGAGGTTCGTAAGTTATATATCCTTTTCCATGGCCCCACTAGAAACTTTTATACAGAAATGAATCTAGATAACATATGGATCATATATATCCGAAACATAGAGGCCCCATAATGGTGTAACTGATGAAGTTTATTAAGCAATTAAAGGAACAAGAATATTAAACTACATACATGTTGGAGATAAATTATTTTTTGTAGGGGTATGTTGTTGACTTTCTTGTTTTTTATAAACCATGATGTAAACAGAAGTTGCACGTTGCCATGTTCAAGATATGAGTCTAATTACCATCTTTTTTATGAATTTAGTTTCTTAGTTTCTTCCATAATGATCCATCATAAGTTCATCACATGTTCCCATTTAATTGCAACATTTCGTTTTATGAAAGTTCCAAACTAGAATTACCTTTTTGTAAGTTACAATCTATCCATGTACTTTCTGCATTTGCTTTTATTCTAGTGTATTTTAAATATATAACAAATAGCCATATGTTGCACTTCAACTATTTTCCAAAAGAAACATTGCAATGTTTAAGGGAGAGAAGCATACAAAGGGAATAACAAAAATTTGATACTCAAATCAAATCTACATGGTTTTACAAATGCTTGATTGATCAAAACCAGTGGTAATAAACAAATAGGTGGGACCCTCTCTCACTAACAAAGTTACAAAGCTTCTTTAGGATCTCACATTCCAACATAACTTAGGCAACTTTGTTTCTATAGATGACATTTTTTTTTGGTATAATTAGGCTCTCAAACTTGTAATCTGGGAAAAAATATGATTGGCAAGTGACCTATTTTTATATTCTTCAATAGTTTTATACCAAAATTTGTAAGTGAAGAAGTGTGATAACTAACTATCCATTAGTTAAAAGCGTTTTTAATAATGACAAATTATGTAATTAAGCTTGTGAACTTGATTCATGCAATCATTCATTAAGCAGAAGGTAGTAATTTTAGGTTAAAATGATCCAAATTGTAATTTAGTGGAGGTAGCCCTAAAAGTGAGTGTGGTGTCACTTTCATATTATGGAATGACAAAGATTAATAAACACATAGACCAATGAAAAAGTCAGAGGTTCGTAGGTTATCCTTTTCCATGGCTCCACCATAAACTTTTAGAAACCTTTTGGGTGTCGATCGATGTGTCTGTGAATTAATTAAGTAAGCCAACCCTATTTCCTTTATCCATTTGAGCATGTCATGTGTTTACATTATTAAAATAAAAAAACATAGAACTCCAATTCAATCACTATCAATCATATAGCTTATACGCACAATTGCACAATTAAACAAACACACACACTGTTCGAAGCATTTAAATAATCAGGAATGAGATGAAAGATAACATATAAAAGAACTATTGAAACTCAGAGTAGCTGAAAGAACAATTAAGATTATATTAATGCAATTAGGGGTGTGTAACGTTACCTTTCATAGGTCTGGAAGGGCAAACAGCGATATGCTTGGGTGGCAAAGATGATCTGTGTTAATATTTTTGTGAAATTTGAGTGTAATCCTTAGAACGAAATTGCGTCCAGATTCGTTAAATTTTTTACTTACAAATTGGGCGTTGAGAAATCTCCACCTAAAATAGCGGAAGGGAGAGAAGGATCACGAAATGGTCTTGTGCTCTTCCAAATATAGCTTCTTCTCCTTGTGTGTTTTTCGCTATTTGTTAGTTAAAGTGTAAAATTTGTTATTTGGAAACTATATCCAACATCAACCATATTGCTATAAGTTAACTTCGCTAATTATTTGAACCATAATATTGCATTGATAATCATAAACATGACGAGAAATATCCAAATCAATCTTTTTAATCATTTTTTGTGTTTAAATAAACGTTCTAAACGATGTTAATTAGACGTAACTTTGCAACAATATTAAACCTTAAGTTTTTACGAGTCATGACAACCTACATCGTTTGTAAGATGTGATTTATGATACTAATTTTGTACAAAATAACTAATTATATATATATATATATATATATATATATATATATATATATATATATATATATTCTAGAGTGACCACTCTAAAATATAAAACTAGTTGGTTTCTTAATTAAATGCAACCCCTAAAAATAAAAGAGTCAACAATAGTTTTGAAATATTTAAATGTATATGCAATATTTATATTTAATATATACGACACAGACTTATACATTAAAATATTGTATAAATATATTGATAATAATAATTTCTAAAATAATAATTATTTTTAAATATATGACATTAAAAGTTAAATTAAGAAGAAGTAAAACAATGCTCATTTTGTCTCGTGTTTATATTTTCTTTAGAGTTCGATTTTTTTTCCTACATAATTGTGTGAAAATGAAATAAAAACATTCTTATTTTCCTAATAACTTTCGGAAGTTCTGTTTATAAAAATAAAAGTTTATCAATTACTATTAAATAATAATAATAATAATTATTAAAATATTTAAATGTATATGCAATATTTATATTTAATATATCCGACACAGACTTATACATTAAAATATTGTATAAATATATTGATAATAATATTTCTAAAATAATACTTCTTTTTAAATATATGACATTAAAAGTTAGATTAGATAATGCATTAGCAGAAGTAAAACAATGCTCATTTTGTCTTGTGTTTATATTTTCTTTAGAGTTCGATTTTTTTTCTACATAATTGTGTGAAAATGAAATAAAAACATTCTTATTCTCCTAATAACTTTCGGAAGTTCTGTTTATAAAAATAAAAGTTTATCAATTACTATTTAATAATAATAATAATTATTATTTTTAGCATTTGCATTGCGACCTTTTAGTAGTCAAAGGCACTAGGTATAAAATTTAAATAAATTATAGGCTAGAATAGAGTTATAACCTTTTAATTTTCTACAAAACCCAATTAACTTATTTCTATTGTTTACTAAGAGAAAGAAAGACAGATAAAAAGAGAAGAAAAAAAGAACTTAAAGATCGACGCATGGAAAAGAGGAGAAAGAAACACACCGATGACAAGTAAGGTTGCTATTTGCTTTTCAAAGTTTCGGAATGAGTTCAACAAACAACAAACGTGAAGAGGAGAGGGTATGTTTCCAATGACGGTGTTCAT